TATATATATAAAATATATATATATATATATATAAAATATATATATATATATATACACACACACACAGTATATATTTGCATGTATACTTTGACTGCATATAAATACCAATAATAGCATATAGTATATTTAAAAATAGTAAATGAAAATGAGGGGTGATAGTTGAAAAGAAATATTTTGTAGCTCCAAACTAATGATATTATTATGCCAACTATATTCCATTTCTAATTATTTGTCTTTAAATGAAATACTAGATAGTTTTAAGAAAAAGCACAAGAACTTTTGCAATTTTATTTTGGTAATTTGTACAAACCTCTTTATTCATCAAATTAAATGTTCTTTTTTGAAAATTTCAAGGCTCTGTCACATGAGCTAGTGATCATAACTGTAATTGCATTAATTACAGCAATTCTGGAGGTTCTTTGGGTCAACGTATGTAGAGGAATGATATGACAACTAGAAGCTATCAAGACAGTCATTCTAAAGGAGAGAACATTATTTGAGGTTAATATCAAGCAGAGATGACTCTTGGATTATAGTCATTCATTCTCTACCAGTTTAATAAGATCACTACAAAGGCGATGTGATTTTAAGTCAAGCTCTTAATCATGCTTCCCAGCTCTTCAGGTTCTGGTGTATGTTAGATATTTACCTTGAATTAGACACTTATTATTTTACTTAATCATGTTAATAAACCTGCCCAGGATGGCATTATTACCCTGTTCTACAGATAACAGACAGAAGCCGTCCAAGGTCATAGAGGGCTTCCTGGTTCCAAAGTACATTTTCCTCCAATATGCCACATCAGTGACCCAAATGTAAATAGTAATAGCCACATTTTATCTAGGGCCTAAATAATTTCAAACTCTATTTTATGTTATCCCGAATCTTCACAAAGTACTACAAAGCTCACATTTCTGATCTTCTGTGTAGACACTAGAGATAAGAAATGTCTAGAACTCCCAACTTTGAGTTTATTGGCTTCTAAACCCCTTCATTTTATCAGTCACTTTTTTGTTATTTCATTCCAAATTTATTTTACATTTTATATGCCTACCTATAGGAGTCCTTAAAAAGCCCAAATTCCTCTCCTCCCTATTATCCATGGTCCTTTGCACTGTGGCTCCTCCATCAGGAGATATAATCTATTTCTGATGGTCTGGGGTTGACTATGTGACTTGCTTTGGCTAATGGGACATTAGCAAACACAACACAAGCAAAGGCTTGAAAAGCACAGGAACTTCTGGACTTGCCTTACTATTGCCGGGAATCTTTCTGCCACAGTGGGAATGAGCCTGGGCTAGCCAGCTGTATGATGAGAGAGACATGTGGCCATCACCCCAGATGACATCAAGGCAACTGTCAAAAATATGAGGCCCCTCTTCTGCAAAAGCAATCAGCTTGCTAACTACTAAATATCCAACCCTGACTAAGTCAGCCCACATCTGACTCAAGAAACTCTCAGAACTAAAATAAAGGTTTCCTGTCCTAACTCACTAAGTTATGGAGTAAATTGTTATACCACCCTACCCACGACTTTAAAGTACTCATTTTCAAATCATACCGGGATCACGTCTGAAGAACTGAATTCTATTAAAGTTACCAGCTTGCATAAATAGGCCTCTGTCTTAGGTAGGAACAACATTCTACTAAGAATTAACATGTCTAAAACAATGCATCAATTTATAATTTGTATCTATTCTCCTTGATGAGGGATTATGTCATAAGCATTTCTCTCAGACCATTTATGTTGCTGTAACAAAATACCTAGACTGGGTAATTTATAAAGAACAGAAATTTATTTTGTCACAGTTCTAGAGCCAAGAAGACCAAGATAAAGGGGCTGGCAGATTCAGTGTCTGGTGAGGGCTGCTCTCTGTTTCTAAGATGGTGCCTTCTGCTGTATCCTCACATGGCAGAAATGGGAGTGACAAAAAAGGGCCCAGCTAGTTCCCTCCAGCCCTTTTAGAAGGGCATTAATCCCTTAATTGAGAATTAAGTTTCAATATGAATTTTAGAGGGGACACAAACATCCAAACCATAGCATCATCCAAATTATTCAATATAAAAGCCTCAGAGGCATTTCTGTCCCTTTCCCTGTATCTGTTCAGTCAAATGCCATGTCTCTTCAAAATATTTCTAAGATCCTCACATCACCATTGACACACTATTAATTTCCCCATCATCTTTTACCTGACCTACTGGAATAGCCTCTCTTTGCTGACCTCTTCCCCAGTCAACACATCATCTACGCTAACATCAGAAATATTTTTCTGATATCCAGAACTGATAATGCTAAAATGTAACATCTCACTGATGTGGAGGGGAAAAAAGGCAATTAAAAATATTTGATTTTTTCTTCCACAATAAAACACAGACTCCTCAGTACGGGTTATAGAATCCTTCACAATCTGCCTCATTACATCTTTCCAGTCTTTCCCTCTAGAACTGCTCCCATTTTACTGTGCATTCAGCACTCTTCCTTAAAAGTATCCCACATTTTCACATATCTATGTTTTGGTTCATTCTGCTTCCTCTTCATGGGATTCCTTTATCATCTTTTTTGCTTCCTTTTCCTCTTGAAAAACATGAATGCATCCTTCAGTGTCACTAGGCTGTCCCCTTTACTGTCAATCACTTAGACAAAAATCAATGAATGAGTTTCTACTATGTGCCAAGCAGAGACCAATAGCTGGGGGGAGAAATATTAAGTATGACACTCTCTGCCTTCAAGGAGCATACAGATAAGAGGGAAACATGCATGCTGCAAAGTAAAATAAAATGTCTTCGGTGTAATAACAGGCAAGCACAGGGGACATTTGGAGAACAGAGGCATGCACAGAGCTCCTCCCTAGGCACACAGTCAGGGAAAGCTTAACAGAGGAACTCATGATAAGGAAGAGCCTTGAAACACTGGATGAAACATATTGGGTAGACAAGAAGAGGTAAGAGACTTCCTGGCAGAGAAAATACCCTCTACAGAAAACATGCTCATAAAAGTCAGACCCAATCACTTCAAAATTATGAACAGTAATTAATATTGTTGAAAGTATAAGAAAGCATACTGCATTACTAAAAACCAAAAAGTTAACCTTAGGATATCTGGCATTTTCAAAATTAAAAGACATGCCTACATAACACAAGCTTTGAATATTTTGAAACAGTTTGAAAATCATTCATAAACATTCCTTTAAGAACAAAAAGATAAATTCTGTATTTAGATTGTGAGATTGTAAATGCTAACTTTCAATTTTTATTTTATGTGACTTTTTCTAAAAATCTTTAACTGAAACAAGTGATATTAATTAAAAAATACATAATTTTAATTTACATATTTTTAAAACTAAATGATCATATTAATACTAAAATGACTTTTCAAAAATAATAAAATATCACTTTAAGGAGAAAAAAAATCTGTCAATATGACTTAGATTAAGACTTCTTAATGTAAAAGATTTGATAGTAGAAGGAAGAACTAGTAAAAAAGTAATAGTTATCTGGTAATCTCTAAATCTAAACTGGTATTCAACTAGTGAATCACTATGGATCCCTTTTTTCCTGAAACCATTGTACTCTGGTTTACAAACACTTCTCAGTTTCATGTTTTAGTTTATAATTAAGACTTGTTCTTCCTCAGATTACTCACACATTTCATTTTCTTCCCTTGATTTTTAAACAGGAACTGCATTCCAAATATGTACATATTTATAACCATCTTAAACTTGGTTAACTGCCTTCACAAAGAATAAATACAGTTTCTTTTTCTTTAAATGAAGAACTCACCTCTAACAGGGGGTCTTTCTAGCTCAGAGTCAATGTGAATTGGTGGAGAGATGTACGAAACTTGTCCATGATGTGCCTGCCCTGTGGACCAAAAAAAAAAAAACGGTTAAGAAGACATTATAGTTACATCTTTCACTTTTTTTTCATTTTTATGATGTCATATCAGTTCTCTCCACACCGATTTAAGAGCTATTGTAGAGTGTAGACAGATCTGCCCAAATATAAAAACAGTATGTATCATCCAAACACCGCCCCCTATTAAATCAGTGCTTCATCAACTATCTTAAGGTTTTTTTCTTTTAATTAAATTAAACATTTATTGTGGATGGTTACTTTAAAAAATACAACAAAAATGAGTTATAAGAAAAATGAAATGGAAAAACTAAAAACAAAGACATATAAAATACAAGATCCCATTTTTTATTATTAAACAGACATTGCCTTCTGTCATTTTGTCATAAGTGTTTCTAAACACTTCTCTAACTTTCTGCACTTATTTCATTGCAAACCAGTAATAAATGGTCTGGAGACTGGCACCCAATCTATAGATAACACTTTGATGTTTATTTAGATAACTTTAGAAACCTGTTTATCTTATATTTTACCTTTAAGATTAACTTCCATTATTTAAATAGAAAAGTGCAGTATTCCTACCTGCTTATCCATATTTGACGGAAAACCAATAACTAACCACAATTTAAAAAGCAGGTGAATGGATTCATTCCCTATTCTTTACAAAGCGTTTTACTAGCTCACATACATATTTGCAATATACTTTTTGTGTTATGAGTTTAAAGTGTTAAAGCTGATTTGAAGGCCAAGACACTGAAAGAACTGTCAACTTAAATACAAAAGAATTCTCGAATGCTCAAAGTAGCTACAGTTTGTATACTGATAATCCAGTAAGCAATTATGATTCTGAGGCAAGAAATCATAATTATGGAGTCAGTTCAATTTCTAAAGCTACTTTATATAACAAAGGTTTGGGTAGGAGTGGAGAACCCACCACTTTCCTTCCACAATCGGAATAAGCAGTTATATTTCACACATTTACTATAGCAATTTACAGGGTTGTTAATCTCTTTTCCTAAACAAGGAAAGTTAATGATACATAGATTATGATAACAGTTAGAGTAACCTTCCCGATTCAAGTAATATTCGACTTGTAATAAACTCTGCTGATTCCTCTTAAGAGGCACATTTCAAATAATTAATATGGTTCCCTGTTGATAGTAGCTGCTGTCGCTCCCCGCGTTCTTCCAGCTTACAGCAGAGACAGTGGAGAAGCTTTAACAGACAGAGTCTCTCATAATGGTAACTAAGAACATTGTACATCCACTGGCCATGTTTCAGTGGAATACTAAAAGCACTATTACAAAAGGAATAAGACACCAACTGTACACTGTAAGCAGTCCATGTTTAATACACTTTATTAAAAACTTTAGATTATCTTAATTATAAAACCACCTGTTTACTGGTATTACATACTTGGTTGCAAAATCATTTATATTTTATGGTCCTTATATATGACCTGGTTTAAAATGTTGTGAGTCCTGAAAATAAAAATAATATATCTTTCATTTTATATTGGCTCAAAGTAACCTCAGCATATAAAATAATATTGATTTCAAGTCTAATATTGGAACATAGCTTTCGCCACAAATGATGATAACCACAAAGCACTCATACATATATCATCTCCTCCTATCCAACCACCATCACTATGAGGATTATGTACTATGTTAATATATACATATTTTTTAAATAAAAGAAACAAGCAAGATATTAGGTAACTTGCTCAAGCACATGCAACCAATAAATAGCAAGGCCAGCAGTGTTTTGAATCTAAATCTGGTGTTTTTATCCATATCACAATATTTTTTCCAAAGAAGGCTCAGTAAACTAAAACCTGGAAAAAAAAAAGACATATATATATATATATATATAATATAATTTTAGTGATTAATCTCTGACAACTGCTTTTGGAACTGTTGTCCCTACATTCAGATTAAACAGTTTATTTAAATGCAAAATGTGCCTCTGTTTTAGGGATAAGCATGTAACTTCAAGGTGCTCCACACGAGTACTTTAGGTAGAATGGAGATGACAGTGTGTTTTTCCCTAAGTGGAATGTGAACATCAGAGAGCCAGGGGAATGGGCATTATGGATAGTCACGTCCTGAAGTTGGTTTGCCCTAATTTTCATCCCCTCTCCAAGAAGAAATCTAGCAAACCACAAGACAGGGTGTGTCAGGTAAAGCCAATGTGGTAGGAATTGACTGAGACTTAGAGGAAGGTCAGAAATGCAGTAATAGTTTTTGATTTGCTGATTGAGCCTTCTGACCTACAGAATAAAAACGAGAAATTATGGAGGTGGTTGTTGATTGATTTCATTAATCGAATTCTTAAAATGATCCCCAATTCACTTCAGATCAGTGGCACTCATGCATTGATTTGCACAAAAATCCATAAAGGTTAATAAAACCTATTCTAATCTGTGGCTAACAACGATTCTCAGAGAAATGATAAGGGAGGACATATCAGGACATGGTAGGAGGGCTGTGCACGGTTCAGAAAAACACCATTGACTCTCCAAGCTCCACTCCTCTCCTTAAGAATTACTGCAAAATAATACTAACAATAATATACAACAGTTAAAACCATAAATAACATCCATAAATATTTCTCTTAGATTTTAAGGTGAAAAATTCTCAACAAAAAATGTGATCATTTCCAAAACAGCTTTAAGAGGTAAAAAGCATGGCAAACACATGCTGCTTTATAAGATTCGACTAGAATACTCTAAGGGAACATATCTGCTCTGTTATTCCTCATATTCTCCATGAGGCTCTACTGTTTTACACTAGACCTGCCTGGTCCTTGTAACTACAGCCTTATATATTCAAATACGTGATGTGCTGCACCTCTTCTTGCCCTTACTTTTCAAATTAAAAAATACATATATCTGCTCATTTTTCTTGTAAATTTTATTTCATTTTTTATAAATTTCAAAGCAAGAAATCATATTGAGATTTTGATTATAATTACATTCATTTTATAAATTAACATGAAGAACAAACATTTTCTTTTTCATTTTTGGCAGCTGGCCAGTTTGGGAATCTGAACCCATGACCTTGGTGTTATAAGGCCACACTCTAACTGATGGAGCTAAACGGCTAGCCAGAAAAAGCTTTTAAAACTTCACATATAGTTTTAAAAAGCAAATCTCCATTTATGTGAATTGTCTTTTAATAAGTAGGAATAAATTTTTTTTTGAAGTTTATTATTTATTTACTTTTTTGAAGTCTGGTCTACACGGTGGTGGGCAGGCCCACTCATTAAATATTTTTTCTGGTCACTGCTGGAATAGTTATTGACTCTGACCTTCCTAGCCCCTTGGAGCTAGCTAGATACACTGACAACATTTTAATTATTTTCTGTGGTCTTTGTTACTTATATAAAATAATACTCCCAAGTTAAGATTCATCTATATACTGTTAGTATAAAATTCTTTTGTGATGCAGAATTAAAATTTTAAAGATCGATTTTATAGGTTATGCAATTTAGAGAACAGTTTCCTGGTACTGCTGGTTCAGCTGCCATTTTAACTTAAGTTCCTACAAAGTACATACCAAATAAATACATAATGCTTAATGACACATTTCATAGAATAAAAAAAAGGAGAAAAAAACCCTAAACCTTCATGTTTATAGCTAAGAAGTCTAGAAGATGAAAGAGATCAGAATGTGCCACCCCAAAATATACCATTTTGACATAAGATTATTTTGAGCTGATGGCAATTAAGAATCAACAGACCCAGGAAGAGTTCTCTGCCCTACCCTTTTTGTCTAAAAGCAGGACATAAATTTCCCCTTGAGGAGGTGTGCCTTCTCTACATTACTGGGGAGAGGAGTGACTTTTATCATTAAAGATAGGGAGTCAACACCAAGGTAAGTTTGCATAAACAGACCTCACTATTTTAAAATAGCCCTTACCTACTGTTGGTTTCCCCATATACTCATATTTACTAGTCACTTCCCCACAATTTATCATCCCTTGAAACCCAACCCCTCTTTCCCTTGTTAAAAGCATATATAAGCCCTTGAGTCTAACTGCTTCTGAGTTTCAGTCCTTTCTCTTGAACTCCTGTGCAAAGAAATATTAATGAAAACCATGTGCCTCTTCTCTTGTTAATCTATCTTGTTACTTCAATTTGTAAACACACACACACACACACACACACTCAGTCTAAGAGGGTAGAGGAAAAGATTTCCTTCCTGACACAGAACAGTGGCAATAGGGACTTGGGTGGGTAGCTTATGAATTATGAATTATTCGTGTTTACTTTAGGTAAAATTATGCATTTGTACGGAATATCATATATATGTATATATATATGTACATATATATATATACATACTCATACATATGTAGTGAGATATAAACTCACATTTAAAGAAAACAATTCAATGTTTTTTAGTATATTCACAGAGTTGTGCAACCACCACCATCACAATCAATTTTGGAACATTTCATCACCATGAAAAGAAGCCCCAAGTCCATTAGCAGTTAAGTCCCCATTTCCTCTCAATCCGCCCCAGTTCTAAGCAACCATTCATCTAATTTATTTTTCTATAGATTTGCCTATTCTGGACATTTTATATGAATGGAACTATACATGTGATCTTTTGTGATCAGCTTCTTTCACACAACATGATTTTTCGAAACTCACCCATGCTGTATGTGGCATAATTCAGTACTTTATTCCTCTTTTTGCCAAGTAATATTCTGTTTTACAGACTTAGCACACTTTATTTACCCATTCATCAATTCGTGAAATGTTTGGGATCGTTTTCACTTTTTGACTGTTATGAGCAATGCTGCTATGAACCTTCATGTTCAAGAATTTGTGTGCATTTCTCTTGGGTATGTATATACCTCGGAGTAGGATTACCACATCATATGGTAAGTCTATGTGTAACCTTTTGAGAAACTATCAGACTGACTTCCAAAGACGCATTTCACTAACAGTGTATAAAGTTTCCAATACCATGGAGATGCTTTTCAGTTGTTATCTCTTT